GGCTGTCACAGGGGAAAGAACTCATGACAGGAGTCATTTGTCCTTCTTCCTAAAAGTGAAGAGACTAAACTGTAAATCAGTTGGATTAGGCTTTGTGTGGGAGTGTCACGGAGAGCCACCACAGAAACCATTCTTCTTGTGTGAGAGCTGCAGAGAGACAATCGCCTTTAGCCATATCTGTCAACACATGGTCAGCAATGAGCACCAGCGCAAATACATGGTGAGTGGCGTCTCAATAATGCACAGGAAACTTCTAAACAGCAAAAGATTTTATGATATGCGTGTCTTTCAGCTGATGCAGCACCCTCAATATACAAAGTTCTGGGATGAGAAGGATCTGCTCCCACAGATGAAACTGGAGATTTTAAATGATGTTGTCAAGCTGCTCTCAGAGCAGGAGAGTAACAACAAGATAGATGCGCAGGTAACCTGTGGTTTATGTATCATGCACGTTATCTCAAATGGTAGTTTGAGCAAGATATAGGTGATGATCTTTTTGAAATAAATTTGATTGTGTATGGTGGACAAGATGTATTTGTTAATGCTTCACAATGTACACAATCTTTTGTGCTCTCTTTCACAAAGGTTGTAAAGCTGAGACCGTACGTGCATAAATATGTTGAGACAGCTCCGTTCAGTGAAGGTAATAGTAAGCTTATTATGCAATGACCTACAGAGGTTATGGTCCACTGGAGTATAAAGTAATTAGTATCAACTGTGCTGTTTGCTTTTAGCTTTACAATTAGTGCAAGACATCAAGAAAGAACCAAAACGGAGCGTACTCTGTCCACCTGTCAGGGCTGAACAACAAACGGGTGAGTCCCATTAGCCCAGTCACAGTATCAGTGTTACTCATTCTTATGCACAGCCTAAATAAAATGACTCATACGGGCAGAATATGGGTTTGAGCGATGGGTTTTGGTTTCTGTTGCACAGACCGGCAACCTGAGGACCGGCAGAGTGGAGAGGAATCTCTTCGACCAGAGAATCAGTCAACACAGGCACTTAAGACAGACCAGAGAAGTGACAATGGTATGATGATTATCATATTATATACAATATTGGACAGCATCCTCTAGTTATGTTTTTTAAATTCCAGTCAGTGATTATATTAAGTCTGTTAACTGTAGAAAATATGGTTGAACATTGACTCATTTCATTATAATTGTCTTGAGCTTGTTTAGACTCAAGACTACAAATGAAAACCTATTATAATGGACATAATGTATTACTTGTAGGTTTGTCCTGGTAATTGTCTCTTGTTCTCAAAGATGTAGTAAATGTAATCATTTCTCTTGTGTTCTCTCTTTCCTTCTCCACTGTGTATACACAGAAAAACATCATTTGGATGAAACTGCAGTGGTCGGAGATTTGGATGGGGTCAAACACAGAAGAGTCTTGAGGGCTCTGGATGTGACCAGTGCTTCTTCAAAGGCTGAATATAAAAACAGAATATCTCCGTCACTTAGTGCTGACACATGTCATAGTCCACAAGAGACCTGCAGGAGCCTTTCCATGCAACCTGAGCTCAGACCACCAGCCTCTCAGAACCAGAGGTCTATCCCTGAGTTACAAGTGAAACAGGGAGAGGTGCACTCAGAATTCCCATCTTCCTCGGTTGTTAGTCCTGAAACCAGTCAAACCCTGTCTCTGTCTCCGAGAGACAACTGCCCTCCAACCAGGAAAAGGCCAGTTGTTGAATCTCTGGAAACACTGGTCAGACCTTGTACCAGTAACCCCCAACCCGAGGAGGCTTTGCCAGCCAAGCACACACGTGTCTCACAGCAGTCTATCAGTCAGCTCAGCACTGAATCAACCTCAGAGTCCACTCCTGTTAACCCTGCTGCAACCTCCACCCTCCTGGCTCCCAAGGACCATGACACAGGACCTGGAACTGACGAACAAGACCCATCCATTGTCGACCACAAAAAGTTGGAGCGTCTAATGACTCTGCTGAGAGAGATGAAGTCTGACATAAACATATCATCTCCAGATGATGCGAAAAATAATTCCCCCTCATTGGAGGGGATGTTTTCAACAACAGCAGCTCCTGAGAACCAACTCACCACCACTCATGTGAACCCTGCTTTCCCTGCCGCCAGCTCATCTATTGAGGGCTATTTAGCGAGGGACAACCAAGCCGAGGCAGTCGGTGTGTTACCTTCTGCCAGCACTGCTGACCCCAGTGATCCACAACACCAAGAAGTCAGTAATCAGAGCATGT